ATTGAATTCTGTCCAAACAGGATTTTTGATCCTAAAATTTCAGCAATCACATTGATACGATCCTGCATTAAGACCTAAGACTCACCCTTTTAAACTTTTTCTATGCTTTGATTATGCTAACCATATAAGCAGTCTAATTGATTCAGCTTGTACATCATAAGGATACACTACTCAATTTCTTATTGTTTTCATACTATGAGAGGTGCATAACTTGTTGATCCTCATAATCTTAAGAGTGGGACCTCAGTTTTGTTTCCACATTGATACAACATAAGTTCTCGACTTATCTATAGAACTAATCACTTCACTTAACTACTTGTGAGCTCTTGTAGAAAACTCTCTCATTTCTTCTTAGTATTCATTTATGGTCATATGTTTTCATAGAACTCCCTAACAGGATTTCAATTATGAAAATAGAGTTTGGAGAAAACACTTTTTTTGCATTTAATATGACTCTTCATCTATAAGTATAACAATGGTATGCAACCCAAAAATCACCCTTTATCATTTCGTCCATAATGATTTAACGACCTAATGGTTTCTACCAAGATTGCTAATGAAAGATTATATCCTCTTTCTATTTACTTAAACAAATCTACCACCTCTATCTCAACATGCCCCAAAACTTTAAGAATGATCATGATACCATATATGGCTAAGGCAAATACATTCAATCCCTAGTCATCATGTGGATGTTTTGTAATGAAATCACGAAAAAACTCCCAATGAATGCCCTTATGTGCTCTTTTTTCTTGGATATGCAAATCTATAACCTTATTGTTGACTTCTAACATGAGCTAATATACAAATCTATAACCTCTTTGTTAACTTCTAAGATATGAGCTAACTTCTTACGATACCCAAGCTTTTAGTTTTTCACATAAACTCTGTCTAAATGTTAGAGATGCATACCTACCAAATTTGAATACTCTTCTATTATTGGCACCATATCCACTTCATTAAAAATAAAACAATAATAGGAAAGGTCCCAAAACTGCACCATTGTTTTTATAAGTGAACTCTTTATTTTCATTAACAAAAGGTGTGTAATATGACCAAATTTTTTGCAAAAAGGCGTGTTGTCTTGATGAGCTCATATTTTTTCATATGTCTATCAAATCTTGCAAATCATTTTATTTAAAAAATAGTAGGACTTTTTTAAGTAGTGTAGAAATATAGCTAGATGGTAAACAATCTGTTTTCTTTTGTTAGATATTCTCTGATTCAATCTTCAACTCATTAGATGACTCACTTTTGGCAAACATGGATGAAGCACAAATTAAATGTTCTGTAGGTTCCATGAAAGATTTTTGTTGAAAATATCTTAAAGGCAAATGTGTTATGCAGCCTATGTGCATGTTTTATGAATATGCAAAAAAATAATAATAATAAAGAAAGAAACTAGTCAGTTAACATAGTATAAGAAATAAACATGTTAACATAAAATATAATAATATGACCTTAAACTCCAGATAAATTCTAAAAGTGAAGAGAAACATCGCTCTACCTATAGGTTAAACTGATAAGGTTAACTATATGTGTTTTGAGTTAATTTTAAGGGTCTCTAAATTATTCCTTATATCATTGTCCATCACAAACTAGTAAGACACCTTAATCTTCGCCCATTTTAGGCTACAAATGGAAATAATTTAATTTGAGTGAAAGTATTTTACTAACTCATGTGGAGATATAAAATCTTACGAAAATGTAGGTACTTTACTCTCTCTTAAAGGACAGAGCTCGAGTGTAAAGCTCATACTATGTACATGCACATGATTAGTAATACATAACATGAAAATAAAACACAAAAGAGAAAACAAAAGCTTGTAAATTTACTAAAGTAGGCTTGAATAATATAAAATCATTTACTAACCTGACTCACTTTATCTCCAGTAGAGTCACCAAACTGTCATAACATAAAGATTCGTAAACTTATAGCTACACCTAACTTAAGGAGTCACCACTAATCTTTTTTGTTAAGTTACGATTAGCCACCTAATTAAATCTATCTTTTTTTAAAGAGAAATCTCAAGCTTAACTTAGATTTCTTTAAAAGGTAGATTTTATGTTTATGAAACCAAACTAGATCTAGGAAGTACAGTTACATATGAAGAATGTTATAGCACCCTCACAACACCCATCAAATGCTAGTATCAGTTTGATTTCATATTATCCAAGCCTTAATATAGGTTTGTAATTTACCTAATAAATTTAATATTGAAAATTAATCTTAAAACTACTCCAATTGTTTGGTAGAATTTAAAATATTTTTTTCACCTCAAGAATATTCATGAAAACTCATGTTCTACTCTGAAAAGGCTTCATCATCAAATTCATTAACATATTTTTTTAAGAAATCATGTTTTTGAAATTAATCAATAAAATCCTCCAATCGTTTAGTAAAGTTTTATATTAATGCATATACCTTAATCGTTTGGTGGGATTATAAATAATTTATTTTTTTCTTAAAATTTATTATGAAATTCTTTAATCGTTTGATAGAATTTATAATTGAAAAATTAAAATCTTTCAATCATTAGGTAGGATTAAAAAAATATTTTTTTCTTTTTAAAAAAATTTACAAGTAAAATAAAAAAATTTAATAATAAAAAAATCATTTAAAATTTAAATAAATAATATATGATAAAAATAAAAAAATTACCGAAAAAGAAGGCTCAGCTTGACTAGGCTCAAAGGATATAGCTCAAGGCATAAAGGAAGGCTCAAGGGGCACAGCTCCAAGCTTGACTCGGCTCCACGTCATAGCTCAGCAGCTGTAACTGGAATGGGTCATGTGCTACAGGTCAGGTTGGCACGCAAATCTCTCTAGGTTGATGTTTGGATCTTGAAAGATTTTAAACTATCTAAATGGCGTCGTTTTCCTCCAATATAAAAGCCCAAATTTTTTCTTTTCCTAAAATTTCCTTGATCCATTCTTTTTTTTTCTCTATCTTTTTCTCTAAAAGAGGATGAATGCCAATTAAATTGAAGGTAAAAAGCTTGTTGAAAATTGGAAAAATTCCCCAAAAAATTAGAAATTCTCGTCGAAAAATCATCAAAAAAGGCCAACTCAGTCGAAAATTTTTAACGATTTTTGAAATTTTCAAAAAATTTCCAAAAAAAAAATCAACAATTTTTTTCTACTTCCACAAACACTGTTCAGCTACCAAATCAACTTTTCCCGATTCTTAAATTTTCAAAAAATTTCTCCTAAAAAAATTCTCTAGAAATTTTCTATTGCTCCTATGTACCCTCTGGTTACTTTTTTTTTTTTGCTATTTTTCTCCACTCATTTGTTGTTCCCTTTGTGTTGAATCTAATGGGGTATTTATAGGATTTAAATTATGAAAACCTTAAACCAAAAAGAATTTCAATTTTTTTTGGGTTCAAACTGCACTCTTTAATTTCAACCCAAATTTTATATTCCAAGGAAAAAATCCCAGACAAATTCAACCACTTCAAACTTTTCTAATTTTTCTTTTTTCATTTTTTAACATTTAAGAAAAAACAAATAGTTACAACCTCAAACAAATTGGGGTATCTACACCTATATAATTTTTCGAAGAGTAAAGCAAGAAAGGAATAGTTTTCCCCAAATGCAATAATAATTCACGTAAATAATTTTCATAAAAATGTTGTCCATTACTAGCCTCATTATAAAATTTTTAAAAGTAAAATATATTATTAGTCACCCAATTATGGTTATGTTTTTAAAATAATTACCTAACTATTAATTTTTTATTTAATTACTAAAGTTTAAGTATTTTTTTCATTAAACCATTAGTCTTTAACAGTATGTTAATGTGATAACGTTATGTCAATTGTCAAGTGTCATGTGATATTATCACATCAATAAATTGATTTTTTCTAAAATTTACAATGCCATATGAAATGTCAAATGTTGTAATAATATCACGTAATATCTAACTCATTACAAAGGGTGATACTACCACATTGAGCTAGTTGTTGGAGAAGAAAATCGATATATATGTTATGTAGCTTACCCTTAGACTTATTTTAAGAAGATTCTGTTACTAACATGTTTACTTCCATTGTGGGTAATGTATTTGGATTCAAAGCCTGACACGCTCTACGTCTAAAGGATCTGTGAATCCCTCTTACTTATACTAAAACTTTCCAAAACCCACCTCATGGCATCCAAGTTGAAAGAGATAAATTGAACAAGTACGGTCGCCCCTATTAGGATGTACTATTAAACCTAAATTGGGGTTATCCGCTAGATATGACACTGTCACAAAAATTAACTAAACCATTGTCATTAAATCCCTATCACGTCAACACACTATTAAAGATTAATTAACAGTTAGATGACAAAAAAAAAATTTACTCAAGCTTTAATAATTAAATAAAAAACTTTAATAATTAAGTGATCATCTTAAAAATGCAATCATAATTGAGAGATCAATATATTTTACCCTATTTTTTGTTTATAAAAAAAAAAATGTTTTAGCCTCACATGAGGATCACCGTTTCATCAAACCAAACAATTAAAAAGGCTAAGCTATTTTTGCTTTATATAAAAACCGTTCATGTTTATACATAACATTTACAACTAGCATGTCTCAAGCATTAATGCACCATTATTGAACCCTAAGCCAACCCCCAACCCCTAAAAGTAACTTAACACCTAATCTTCATTTAAAGCCCCTATATATATATATATATATATATATACATATATATATCAGAGAAATTATAAAGACTCCTCATACCATTTTGATTACTACTTGTTAATCCAATAAATTAGGATATGCAACATGTCATTAGAATTTACATATATTTTAATCACACGGAATAAGACTCAGATTAATATAATAATTAATTATATATATTACCGACCCTTAATCATGCCTTAACTTTTGTATTAGGGCATTGACCGCCCATGTGGTACCTTGTGAAGGAATTATGAGCTGGATAAACATAAGTAACTTGTATGCAAAGCCGGCCTTAGGGCACTTAAAAGGTAAAAGCCAAGTTTATTAGGACCCAAAAGGAGCCCTATGAGGAATGCCTTCTCTTCTTCTTGAATTAGAACGAGTTGTATTAGGGGTGCCTGGTCTATACATTTCTTGTGGGCTTTCTTCGCACAATTCTTCTTCTTCTTCTTCTTCTTCTTTTGATGCCAATCTTCTCGCCGTAATTCCTTCTCTTCTTTGTATCATTACTTCCTCCTCATTATTCTTGTTGCTTAAAACAAAGCTTGTGTCCCCATTTTTCCTTATTCCTACAAGCTGCTGTAATATTTTAAATAAATCTAAATTTATTTTTAATCAATCCTTTATACGGAAAAAAAAACCATGACAATAATGAAAACAAAAAAAATTCAAAAATTTTTTTAGATGTTTACAAATTTGAAGTGAGATTCATATGATTATTGATTTTGAATTGGGTTTGAGATTTAAAAATGAAAAAGGCACGCATTTGCACGATCACTTTGTATTTTGGTTCTTTCAATTCATAAATCAAAATCATAGCAATGAAACACGGGAGATCCAAATTGTAAATATTGAAAACCAAAATAAATTTGAAGGAAAGTTTCTCTTGGACACTCCAAAATTTTCTCTTGAATATTCATTTCGTCGATAAAATTAATGAATTTGTTAACAATTTATGTATATCATAAATGAATATCCTAAAATAATTTTATATGCGTCATTGCAATAACATGTTGTTATTTCATTTATCCAATGTAGCATAACACAAGAGCAATGTGAGAAAACATTTGAAGCGAAAACATGAAGAGAACTTGAACTAACCTTGCATCCCAAAGAACAGAAACGAAAGGGATCCAAAAGACTTCTGCTACATATTTCACACAAATGAGAGGACCCTTTGCTGCTACTGCTACTACTAGTCTTTGGTTGGGGTCTTTCATTTAGGAAAAGAACTCTTGCACTGTTTATCACGTAAGTTTGCACTTCACTTATATCCAAAACCTTTTTAATTTCAGCTAATCTAACAACATCATGGTATGACGACCGTCTGATCTGCATTCATCTCATCTTAGACGACAAATTTCATATCTACTTCGATATATACACACACACACACACACACAAACACACAATGGCAAAGACGAAAAGTAGAAAAAAAAATTTATGTGCACCTGAATTACAAGATGATCTTTGTGCCTCGAGGATCGGCAATAGAAGCAAAATGGATCATTCATGCAATCAAGGCAATACATATTACATTCGTTTCGCGGTGTGTCTTTATGTCTTGGGCAGATGGTGAAGAATGCAGCCGATAACAATGATTCGAGCCAGGGTGGCACCTTCATTTCTTCCTGTTTTCGAGTCCCAAAAACCCAAGTGATAACGATCAGTCAACCAAAACAAATGAAATGGGCAATTTCTTTTGTAAGAAAAGAATCAAATTATGTTTGCATTACCATCAACAAGGAAGATTAAATTTAGAAATAGGGGTTGAAGGAGAAGAAAGAAAAGTGGTTTAAAAAAGAACCTGAGGAACATAAGTTTCATCTTCAAAACAATGGGATTATATTAATTAAAGGACAAAGGGAGGCCGAGGAGGCACATGAAAAATGTACTGAAAACATAGTAGAGAAACGGTTTGGATTAAGAGATGGTAGGTTAAAGTGGGGTTGAACGTTGGATTTTGGGGAGAAGAAAAAAAGAAAAAATTTTTATGAAAGGTTTCTTTTTATGGGCTTACGCAATGCTTCGGCTCTTCTTTGCGTCTGATGGGCGGGTCAAGCCCCTTTTAGGAAAGGTCCAGGCTAGTTATTCTCAAAAAGGAGAAAAAGCAATAAATAAATTAAATTATAGTTTAGCACTTTTAAAAATTAAAATCCCATGTGCAGTGCATGTGTATTAATAGAGGAGTTCGAACAATTCATGTATTTATATTTTATTTATTTTATATTAAATACATATAAAATATGAAATTTATTAAGTTATAATTTGTATTGATACGTTAAATATGAAATAAATTTTTTTATTTTTATTAAATTTATATATAATTTTTATAAAATTTTAAATTATATCATTTTTTTTATCATTTTCGTATCTTTTTATTATATCATGTTTAAAATTATTAAAAAGTTCAAATAGTATTTACCGATTTATATAGCACTTGGATTAGGTTTTCCATAGCCTATTACCCTTTTTTTTTAAATATAAATTACCCTTTTTTTTAAATGAAGAGGAAAGTATTAAAGTTTCGATCAATTTTAATTTTGTTGTTTCGTCTTAGCTTGCCTTTTCACTCCTTCTTTTTTTTTTTTGTTTTGCAAATTCAAAATGTTTAATTAATAACTTGAAAATGCTTCATAAAAAAAATGAAAATGCTTCAATTTTTTAATTCATTGTGTAAATTATTGTAGTTTATTATATAGTGGGGTACCTTTTTCATTTTAACTGTTGTTTAAAATCATAGGATTGTGCCACCAAAGATATTTATTTCTAAACATAGTTCTTAACAACATAAATTCAATCGAAATTAACAATAACAGCTGTGGTGCCAACTATACAAAAAATTGATTAAGACAGTAATACTCCTGCGGGGCATTTTGTAATTTTGTTTCATATCTTTTTCTTATAATTTATGGTAATGTCTAGCCAAAAACATTTGAATGCCTTGGTATAAAATCATGTTAGAGGACTTTTCTGACATGACATTCGAATACTATTAATCAGACATTTGAAAGTCTCATTTTCAGGCATATCATTCAAATGTATTTCCGAAGCTATTGTATACGGTTTCTTAATCACTAGTTTCCATCTTTATTTCTCAATTTAAAAAGAAAAAAGAAAAAACAAAGGCAATAAAAGCATTAGGAGAGAGCAGATGACTTTGTAGTTTCCACTGATACCAAAAAATTGCAATTAACAATAAATACAATCAAAAGGAATTTTAAGTACAATAAACCAACTAGCAAATTTTATTACTACATGATCAAGTGCTAAATGCAAATTAAATGTGATAGTTAATCATTTAGATTGAAAATATAATTAGTTGATAACAATCATTAGTAGCCTTTATCTAACCTTTATACAAAAATGCAAGTGGAAGTGGGCAATATGCAACCATTTTAGGCTTGCAGATGTCATGTCAATCTTCACTACTCTCTTAGCAGTGATTTGTAAAGCTTATGGCTCTATTTGATGTTCAAATCATGATTATTTTTCTTATTTATTCCTTGATGAAAAAACTAGATGGGGTATATTAATCTAATCAGAAACCCCATGAATGATCATTGATTTTTCCTTGCAACATTATAGTCAAGTTAGGAGATCATCATTTGTATTAATTTCCCGAAGACCGACACATTTGTTTCTTTTATTGAATGAAATTAAAGGTGTTTATGGGTTGGATTGAGTCGGATTGAATTAAATTTAAATCAAGTTCATATTTAATATTAATAATTTATATGTTTATCTAAATCTGATTTGGTTCGACTCGAAATTTTAGAATTTAAAATTTTTTCAAGTCCAACCCAAGTCGAAAAAAATCTCAAACTTACTCATTAAACTTAATTTATATAATAAAAAATTAAAAAAATATGACTAAATTAAGTTTAATCGGATTATATTCAATTTACATATATATATAAATAACTAATTTATATATATGTATATGAATTTGGATAGGGTCAAGAGAAGCTCAAATTTTAAATTATATGTTTAAAATCTGATTTAAAATTTAAATAAATTTAAAAATTATATCTAAATTCGTTTAATAAATTTTAATTTTTGACCTAAATCTTTTTAAAAATTAAAAAAATCTTCAAATTTGAACACCGTCCCTTGAAAAGGTCTAGAGGGAACTTCATACGACATTTAAAGCCTATTCAAGTTGATTGAGATAGAACAAATTGAATTATTAGAGGATTGACTATTAAACCCAAATTTACATTTTAGAATTGAACTTAACAAGAACCTGATTTTTTTAAGTAAAAACAGACTATCCTCGCCAATTAATTTGAATGACAAATGATAGAGCCCATTTTTATCTCAAACAATGAGTTCACTCTCCATAGTATCTAGGTCTGTCAAAAGAAAGCGAGCACCTTGTCAAATCTCCAGCCAAAATTCCATAGTTTACAGCTAGATTGGGCAATATCCAGCCACATAGTGGACCCCAAAAAGGTTTGACTCTGTCGTATGCAATGCAACCTTTTTGGCCTACACAAAAATATAAAATATTTAAAAATCTAAAACTTCCAATATTTTATGGGATCTTGATTGTTGCATGAAAGCTCTGTGAAGGGAGGGTCAGTGCTTGATTGGCTGCTAACATTTTCATCCCAAATACGTACAAAGATGGCACAGATAAAAGGAGAAGAAGAGTTTGCTTTGTTTCGTTTTTGTTTAAAAACTTTCAGAAGTGAAAAAAAAAAAAAGAACTCTCAGACGTCTTTTTCTTTACAGCAGAAGACAAACATAGCTAAGCTTAGCTACCTTCCTGCCAATCTCTGCACCCCACACTGTACACATGACACATCTATTTGTTGCCCCATCCCTTTGGCCTTCTTTAATAAATTTCCTTCTTACATAATGTACTTTTTCTTTTAAGTAAAAAGGTCAAAAGTTCTTTTAAAAGAAGCCCTCCAAATGTATTGCAGAAATACTAGTTCTTTTTAGTGGCAAGGAGTTCCCCAATTTCATATTGTATATTTTTTTCAGATAAATTCAAGTAAATTTATTTATGATAAATCTAATGAATTTATATGAAATTATTTTCTTAGAAATGAGTAAAATTTTTTATCATTTGAGTCAAATTAGTTGGTATTACAGAATTCTCACCGTGGGAAACTAAAAAAAACAAATCTCAAATTTGGTTAATGATTATGAAAAATAGAGTATTTATTTCCTTCTGAACCATACCTAAATTGCTTGGCTTCACCCACCTCTAATACTAGAGTCAACTACATATAAAACTCAATTAACAAAAAAAACGCTCTTAAATTTGTTTTTTTTAGATATTTAAAGATAAGTTTTTGCCTGCAGTTGAAACTGACATATTAATCTGGTTTTTATTCTGTGACAGACAAACAGAAAGTTTGTATGTTATCACCTGCTGATATAGTAGTGTATTTATATCACCTACTGATATAGTAGTATATTTATAGCCTCATTTACAGCGTGCCTTTGCTTCAAAGCTGAGAACTGTGAAGTGGGTTTGGAAAGTTTTTTGCCTTTTCTCTTTCAAATGGAAAAATTCCATGTTCTTGTTCTATTGGTTGTCTTCTCTTTTTCTTTGTTTCATGGAGGAATAGCAAGAGCCGTCAAATCCCAAGGGGAATCAGAAGAATGGGGTTACGTTCAAGTCAGACCAAGTAAAAAAAAAACAGCTTCTTAATTTTTACAATTCTCATTCATTTTGGTGTTTTCTTGAATCCAAAAGCTTTAATGTGAATGATTCTGGTCTTGTTTTTTTTTTTTTTTTTTTTTATCTTGAGTTGTGTTATATAGAAGCACACATGTTTTGGTGGCTTTTTAAAAGTCCTTACAGAGTTGAACAGCCTTCCAAGCCATGGCCAATAATTTTATGGCTACAAGGTGGACCTGTAAGTTTTCTTCATCCATCTAGCAGTACTTGAAATGTGAGACGAATATTGTTTAAAATTTCTATATGATGTTTCATTTTGAAAAGCTGAGGCTCAGGTTTCTGAGTTCTAATTGACTTTCAGTTCTGCTTCAACCTTGAAATTGCTTCCATGTTTGTTTTCTTCTCAATATAGGGTGCATCAGGCGTTGGAATTGGAAACTTTGAGGAGATTGGGCCTTTAGACACCAACTTGAAGCCAAGGAATTCCACTTGGTTAAAAATTGCAGATCTTTTGTTTGTGGTTAGTCAGCCATAATTCAATTTTCTGCTTTAATCTCAGTACCAAAAAGGGTATTTGTAATTTTTTGAGTTTTAATGGAATTTAATGATTTTGATGTGATGTAGGACAACCCAGTTGGAACAGGATACAGTTATGTGGAGGATGCAGAGTTGTTGGTGAAAACTGATGATGAATCAGCAACTGATTTAACTACTTTGCTGATGGAATTGTTTAATACAGATGAAAGCCTCCAAAAGAGTCCTCTGTATATTGTGGCAGAGTCTTATGGAGGAAAATTTGCAGTCACTGCCGGATTATCAATTCTAAAAGCTATTGAAGCTGGAAAATTGAAGCAAAAACTTGGAGGTAAACAACTGTTTGAGGAAATGCTTGACTTTGCTTCTTTTAGTGAAAGACTGTTTTGTATAGAAAACTTATTTTCTTACTACATATTGATGTGCATTTGAAGTTTTGATCTGTAGGAGTTACCTTGGGAGATAGTTGGATCTCCCCAGAGGATTTTGTGGTAAGAAGCTTCAATTAAATTGTTAAATCCCCAGTGAATTTGACTTGGCAATGGATTTTGAATTGAATGTCTGTATTGGTATTATGTAAAGATTTTTTTTCAATCTGGATGCTACAGTTTTCTTGGGGGCCTCTTCTCAAGGATGTTTCACGGCTAGACAACAATGGTCTGGAAAAATCAAACAGGTAAATAGTTTTTTTCTTTTTTGCAAGAAACAAATGTTTGAAAACAAGTGTATATGTTATCTGATAAAATCCCATTTGGAAAATCAGTCTAGCCGAGAAGATTAGCCAGCAACTCAAAGATGGTGAATATACTGAAGCAACAAATACTTGGATTCAACTTGAGTCAGTAATTGGAGCCTACAGCAATTCAGTGGTATGGCATTTTCCACTTGTTTTGGTGGCCTCAAATTTATTAATTTTCTCATTAGCCTGAGAGTTTTTGAGTCAATTTGCAGGACTTCTACAATTTTCTTTTGGATTCAGGGATGAGCCCAGTAGCTTTAACAACTTCAGCTTTCTCCAATGGAATTTTTGCAGTTAACAGATACTCAAGATATCTGAGTTCCTTAAGGGTCTCTCCAGGCAATGATGATGGCGATATTGATAGTTTGATGAATGGTGCCATTAAGAAAAAGCTTAAGATCATCCCAGCTAATGTGTCGTAAGCTTCAATCCCACTGATTTGGAACTATAATCTATGCTAAATCACTCCTAAAGTTTTTACCAAAGTACAATTTTATGTGCTTAACAGATGGGGAGGGCAATCAGATTCTGTTTTCTGGTATTTGGCAGGTGACTTTATGAAGCCAAGGATTGCTGAGGTAAAAAATTAATTGAAGTTATAATCTTTTATAAATCAGTAGTCAAAAATGCTCAAAGTAAAAACTAATCCTGAAAAAACCAATGGATGTTGGCTTTTAAGTGTCAAAAAGAGTTTGTTCCTTAGTTGATAATTGTCTTTGAATTCGTTGAGAGATGTTATGATGTAAATAAATCTGTTTGAATGGGAACCGATATATTGGAAGAAACTTAAAAACCTCTGGTCCTTGAAAAGACATTGTACCTATCAATTCAATTAAAATTAATTCTTTTATTTTTATTTTTTGTCAATCTTTTGAGTACATGCATGGTTTGTTGCCAAATTCTTTCACTATCATATTGTATTATTGGGAAAATTTTGTTATCTAACTGTTGTTTAGTTGGTTTTCTTTTTGTAATCTTCTCTCTTGTTCATTTCAATAATAATGATTCTCATATATATTTGATGGTTCATTTTTTCAGGTTGATGAGCTCCTTTCTAAAGGAGTCAATGTCACCGTCTACAATGGACAAGTAAGACTTCTGCCAAACTCCCAATTACTGCAAACAAATTTTCACCGCCATTTATTTTTTTTTCACTGAAAGGAGGAAAGTGAAAAACTAATAGTAATGGTGATTCAAGAAATGGACTAGTGGCAATCTTGGATGCTATGTTCTTAAGCTATTTGAGTGAAATGCCACCAAAATGATTCCATAATTCCCAACAATAGCTGAATTTTGGGCAGCTTTTTTTTTTTTTTTGGTTGGTGGAAACTATAAAATTAATGATGATGAGGGTGTTGGATGGGTAATTGCAGCTTGATGTGATCTGTGCAACAAAGGGGACTGAAGCCTGGATTGATAAGCTCAAGTAAGACTCTTATTTTCCCTTCCATGTCTTCTTGGCCCTTTAAGCTTGCATATTTTAAAATTTAAGATAATTTATAATAAAAAATTTATTTAATATATTATCAGTGAAATTTTTTAACTTTAAGAGTAAAAGATAACACATATCTTATGTTTTTTTTAAAATTTATATTTTATAAAATTTAAAAATTTTACTGGCAATAATAAATTTGATTTTTTTTATAATATTATATTGAAATTCATCCTGCAACTATTTTTTTTTCTTGAATCTGAAATGAAGAATCAATTATACTGCTCAAATGTAGATAAAAGAATTTGAGATATATTTTTGGAATTGAAAAGAAATGATAAGTGAATTATCATGGAGTTATATTAATTTCATTCTATATATTTTCAGGTGGGAAGGACTCCAAGATTTTCTAAACAAGGAAAGAATTCCTCTCTATTGTAAGGACGATCAAGCTACGAAAGGCTTCTTCAAATCTTACAAAAATCTGCACTTTTACTGGATTCTTAGAGCTGGACACTTTGTAAGTCAACAACTATTAACATCTTATCAAAAACCCACCTTTTCAATCTAAAGAAATATTATAATTTCCATGTCTCCATCATCATCAGCATCAAATTATTATAGCACATATGATTATCCCAAAAAAAAAAAAATCATCATTTTGCAGTTGTTTTCACATCTCGAATGCTACTTTATTATTAAAATAAAAATGGTCAAATGCTGTCATTTCTTAATTATTTGTTCATTGCAAATTACTTATATATGCAATAATATGGTTGCCAAAGCGGGTGTTTAATAAAATTTAGTTGTATATATTGCATACATAAGTACATACATAAGCACAAGCAAGGATAAATGCTTTGAATTTTAAAATTAATATAATTAGTTCATATAATTATTTTTAAAAAATAAATTTAATAAATTTAAGATTCAGATTTTAATATATGAAATTTATTTTGTTATTCACCTCATTAGTAAAAAAAAATGCTTTGGATAAATAAATCCATAAAATATATAAAAAGATTCCTTTTTGTTGAAGTTTTCCTCATTTTTTTTATCCTACCATTTTTGTATAAAAAACAGAGAAATTAAGAAGCAACCAAATTATATTGATTACTTGATGCAAGAAAGTTGAGAGTTGTGGGGACAAGGAGCAAACCTCCATAAACATAATTTGCTTACAAAGAATTAACTACACATGCCTTTCAGACTATTTAGAAACTAAAATATATTCCATATAGTAGTATTAGTTTTAGACATATTTTGACTGTAAATTTTACAAGCAGGATAAAAGGATGAGAAATGTTGTAATTATTGCTTATTATTTGTTTGAACAACTGGTGGAAATCTTTTCACCTTCTGTTGTTTGGGGTTTGCTTTCACTCTGCAGCATTTGATCGACACATGCAATATCAAGTATGGTACATAAATAGTTGCAGAATTTCAATATATTTATATATATGTGACAGAGAAATTGTGTAAGTCAATGCAATAGTTTATGGTGATTGGTGAATGAAAGACTAAGGAATGGACATTGTCAGGAAATCAACAAGTACTACTTATCTGATAATTCTGACATGTAAGATCCATCTATGTCTGGTCTGTGGTCGGAAAGTAAAATGTATTCATTTCTGTCTTTCAGATTTTTCCCTTGTTTTATTTACATATCATTGTAGTTATTGGTTGCTGTAAAAAGGGGGTAAAAAATTTTCAATGCCATTATAAATTATATGCGACATAATGGAGTTAAATTTTATGTCTATTATTATTGATTATTAAACATTTTTAATAATTGTAATTATGATTTGCATGCAGGTTCCTGTTGAACAGCCATGTGTAGCATTGAACATGGCTAGGGCAATCACACAGTCGCCAGCTGCAGAAGCTTCTTGAGTAGAATAAAAACGAAAGAAGAAAGATTTGATGTGATTTGTTGACATTTCATTTCAATAAAACAAACAGCAAAGGAACAGAGGATTGCTTATCTTCAGAAATAGTAGTGGTTCAGAAGCTGAGACTACACGAAAAGCAATTATTACAGAAGGAGAAGATGATTATTGATGAAGTGGAAAAGCTAAGTTGTAATTTATTATGATCAAAGGGGAGAAAAAAAAAAAGAAGAGAAAGAATACAAACAAGTGATTGATTTATTTGAACAATATTGCAAATGAAAATCAAACCAGGAAAAAATATGTTACAGATCAAAAGCTGAGATCCAAGTTTTTAGTTCCTTTGTCATCCAGCATTAAAGAAACAAGAACAATATTTTAAAAAAAAATTGCAGCAGCTGAAAAGTGAGAACAGCCCAGGTCAAACATTTTGAACAAAGTTTGATTAAAATTTTTCAGACAAGTTACAGCAACATTTTCAATTTACAAATCAATAAATTATTAAGAAACAAAATCATGGTTGAGAAAAATCCAGTCATAGAAACAAATAACTGAAATAAGTGTGAAAACAACAATCCCCTGCCAAATTTCCTAGTGAACCTAAAAAAAAAAAATTATATGGAACATGTGCATATTGTGTTAATATAAGATCCCAAATTCCCTTTTTTTTTTTCAATTAAATGGGATCATGAATTTTGAAATGTGTAAATCTTGGAGTGTGAAGTTCTTTTCACTGGTTCCTAAGATATACGCAAATCCCGAAAAAGAAAAAAGGCACACCCTGCCAGATTGTAATATTAACCAATTCATTTGGCTGAACTCTCGTTTATATCAAAATAAACACTTTAATGTTTTTCATTTCTCTCATTTTTTATTTCTACTGATCAATATATATTGATTATTAAGAGACTCATTCACATAATACGTGAAGAACACATCTTATGTTCAATTATATATTTCTTAAAATACATTAAAGATTTTTTAAAAATAATTTTTTTATATTTTTACAAAGATCATACAAAGAAATCTTCAAGTACAGCTATATTACTCTTCAGCAACAATGACTGGAGATGTGTTCTAGATCTATGCAATAGCCGAGTAACAAGGGCTACAGTATCAGCACCTGAACATCTTTCCTGCAACGTAAGCGTCATGTTATTTATGATTACCAAATGCTTCGTTCCTGCTTTAAAAACAACATACAGAGAAAGCAAACTTAGTTTGAAGTAATCAAGAAACCAACAAGCATTTAATGTAGATTCTTTTTGTTGAGTCAGTGCACAACATTTTTAGGAAAAATGTCGCATCAACAAACAAAATCTTTTTGTTTCTTAGTTATATAACCTGGGGAAAAAACACAGTATGATCATCCTATCAATCTGTAAACACCTTATTCAAAGAAAATTACTTTATACCTTTAGACAAGAGGCGGTGCCAGCTGGAGGAACAAAATTTGTACTTTGAGGAGCAATAGGTGTCACATCAGCATGCGCGGGTGGATATGATAAGGATGCTGATGGAGTTTTTATCCACCGATCACAATCTTGTGTTATTCTTGATAAGGCTGTCTTTAACCGATCTAGGAATTGCAAACAAATGAAATGACAATGCACAAATGAGAGGTGATCACATAAAAGGAAAGAAATACTAATAGACAAATGAATTTCCATAATGCATTTACAGAAAATTTACTTACAAGAGAGTCAGTAGAACTCTTTCCACTTGAACTCATGTTTTGCTGACCAAATATTTCAAAGATTGTACTGAATCAGGAAAAATAATTTAGAGGGAAAAGGAAAGAACAGTTTTGAGATTGTATTAAGCAGCTAAAGATGTAAAGCTTAGGAAAAGAAAGGTTTACCAGAAACACACCTTAACGTTTACTATTTCAAGCTTCTGCAACAACCTTGCATGCTTATCCATTGACCCAATGTTTAAAAATTAGAAAACGGCTCAATTACATTTATATATAAGAACATAATCAACATTCGTCTCTTGATAGAAAGATCCATTTTCTTTTTTGAACTATATAGCATCTGACCTTAAAAGAGAAAGAGATGATCCAGTTTGTTAGGTAAACTCATTATAACTGCAATGAGAAGAGTAACTTTTTCAAAGGTAGTTGGCTATCCTCATCAATAGAGTCAGCAAGTAAATCCTCATTTTCCTCTTCTGCTATAGAATTGGAGCCATTGATATGATTTGCATCACTGTTGCATAGAGAGACAACATCAGCATGAAGATCAACATTTCACTCATATTCATCGGAGGTTGCTCCATTAAGTGGGGAGGAGTTATGAGCTTCTTTGGGACTGCTGCTTACTTTTAGAAAAAATGGGTTTCCATATCTATGCCAAGGTAGCACCACTGTCAACTGTGGCCGATTTGTCAGTGTGAAGCACCCTAGGATTAGAAGAGTTACCATCAGATGCAGCAATTAAGGATGCTCCATCACCCACCAGCCCAGCAAAACTAATTATTTGTACCGTCTCTGGTGGCAATCTAATTCAGGTTTCCTTCTCCAAAACCATTTTAAGTGCCTGCAAATGAAACAAAAAGTAAGCTCAGCTCTGTTTCAACTGCAAGGATTGTTGGGTTAAAAGCTTCCAATCCAATCACACCAGCGGAAGCGAAATCAAATAATAAATCAAACACACAAGAGATAATAATTTAACGTGGTTCGGTCCAACTGACCTACATCCACGGATGAGAAAAAAGATCCACTAGTTGTAGAGAATTACAAACATACATCATATCATCAACCTCACTCAAACAATCAATACTCATAAGACACTCACAATCTCCTCTAGTCCTATGGAGTATTCTCAACCTAAACAAACACAAACCCAAACCCTTGTGCACCCTTTCAACATAACCAAACACATACTCATATGCTCCCATACATCATACCTATGTGGACCCTCTCAATCTCCTCTAGTTCACTCACAAACAAACATACACACCCATAAGATGTAGAGCCCTAATACTCTTATGGAGTGTCTATCCCACAAAACCCTACAACTCTCTTACATTTTTTTCTCATACCTAACCCTGTAGAGACTTCACCTATTTATAACCATACAAACTTGCCCATTAAGAATCCCTCTCCTCTTAGAATTCTTCTCCTATAAGTCAAACTTACCTATTAAGAATTACTTTCCTTTTAGAATTCTTCTCTTGCAAGTCAAACTTACCTATTAAGAACCCTCTTTCTCTTGGAATTCTTCTTTTGCAAGTCTTCTTGTCCATCAAGCAATATCTGACAAATTCCAAACAAATCTCTAACAAATTTCTTATAAGATTTGAGTCAATATTCCCAACAATCTCCACCTTGACTCAAATTCCATCAATCATCTGTCTTCATGCTAGACATGCTTGGCTCCACCTGCAATGGAAGTCTTACATTCATCTTCTCTTCTCTTGTGTCTTCACGCTTCATACAAACCAATCCTTAATCTTCAAAACTTGAACTCGAACTCTTCTCTTGAATTGAACTCCTTTAAGCTTACTTCTTCTCATGTCTCAAACCAAGCTCTTCTTATATCTCGAACTGTCAACTCTTCTCATGTCTCGAACCATCGGCTCTTCCCACATCTTGAATCTTCAACTCTTCTCACATTTCGAACTTTCAACTCTGATACCATTTGTTGGGCTAAAAGCCTCCAATCCAATCACACCAGCGGAAGCTAAATTAAACAATAAATCAAACACACAAGAGATAATAATTTAACGTGGTTCGGTCCAACTGACCTACATCCACGGATGAGAAAAAAGATCCACTAGTTGTAGAGAATTACAAACATACATCAAATCATCAACCTCACTCAACAATCAATACTCATAAGACACTCACAATCTCCTCTAGTCCTATGGAGTATTCTCAACCTAAACAAACACAAACCCAAACCCTTGTGCACCCTTTCAACATAACCAAACACATACTCATATGCTCCCATACATCATACCTATGTGGACCCTCTCAATCTCCTCTAGTTCACTCACAAACAAACATACACACCCATAAGATGTAGAGCCCTAATACTCTTATGGGGTGTCTATCCCATAAAACCCTACAACTCTCTTACATTTTTTTCTCATACCTAACCCTGTAGAGACTTCACCTATTTGTAACCATACAAACTTGCCCATTAAGAATCCCTCTCCTCTTAGAATTCTTCTCCTGTAAGTCAAACTTACCTATTAAGAATCCCTTTCCTTTTAGAATTCTTCTCTTGCAAGTCAAACTTACCTATTAAGAACCCTCTTTCTCTTGGAATTCTTTTTTTACAAGTCTTCTTGTCCATCAAGTAATATCTGATAAATTTCAAACAAATCTCTAACAAATTTCTTATAAGATTTGAGTCAATATTCCCAACAATGATTATGGGACAGAAGGTAATAGAATTAAGCAAAGAAAAAAAAATAGTAACAATTCCCAAAATTGTTGGCGCCATAAATGAAAAGTACTGCAACTGAAACATATGCCAACAGACAAACCAGTGTTATAATATGCTATAACATGTAAGAAGATAAACATGTCAGCATTGATATATGTCCCCAAAAACAAGGGCTTCATGTTTCACTTTTTATTCGAAGTTTCATGGAAGTTGGCGCAAATGGATTCAAAATCAACAGCTACTACAAGCAATAATGCATATAAGAAGATGCCTAAAATCTGGCATTATGATCTTTGTAATAGTTATAATCATACAGACAAGAACCTATGAAGCCAATGACTAGCAACAACAACAAAGACTGAACTTTTAATCCATCTTCCCCAAAACACAAATAACAACAACAACAACAATAGTGAAGAAGAATTAAGTATGAAATCCAACTTACTGATATGTTTTGCCTATGAAATGCTGCAAAATAATTTTCACAAAAACCCTTCAATTTCTGCCTGAGTTCAACTGTCTCAACTCCACAGAAAGCTTGCCCAGCCAGCGTGAATGCGTTAAGATCTTCATAATTTTTCAAATATTGATGAATGCTTGACAAGAAGCAGTAGAAGAAGAAAGCAATGCTGATACTCGGCTAGTTGTAAGTTGCCAAAGATGCTTACGTCCCCTCTTAAAATTTTGTGACACAGAAGCAGTAAACCATGGCCTCATTGGCTAAATTTTTCAATCTTTACGTAAAAGTATGAATGATTTTTATTGTTAAGATTTGATTATAGTAAAATAATTTCCTAGTACATGAAGTTATTAGGATTCAAATTTTATCACTAAAATTAAAAATCTCAAACTATTAATATTTAATAAACCACATAATTTTAGCAGTTATAGTAAAATATCTTTTTTAAATAGTTGAATTAACCGGTTAATAAAATTAATAGTTTAAAATTTTATTAACAAATCATATAACTATTATCAATTATAG